TATATTATGATAAATACCACTGTTTGTTACTTTACCATCCAACGGACCAATCAGAGATCACGTTTACGTGTGCAAATAACAACTATTGGGCATTGTCAAATGTGACGTCAAAGTATCCATCACGGTTTCTTATTGTTGCATTGTATTTTTAATACCAGTAACCACCAGACCATGATATCTATATATTACAAGTAACCACCAGACCATGATATCTATATAGTACAAGTAACCACCAGACCATGATATCTATATAATACAAGTAACCTCCAAACTATGCTGTTTATTATACAAATAACCCTTAAACCCTGCTGTTTATTATACGAGTAACCCTCAAACTATGCTGTTTATTATACGAGTAACCCTCAAACCATGCTGTTTATTATACGAGTAACCCTCAAACTATGCTGTTTTTAATACCAGGAGCACCTAAACCATCATGTTTGTAATACCAGTAACCCCCAAATGTTTTGTATTTATAATACCAATAAACACACAAAAACATGTTGTTTATAATATCAGAAATATGATATATCGCAATATGCGTATACATGTAGCAGTTTGCCTCAATCTTAACTCCTTATGCAAAAAAAGTTTACCTGCGTTTTTCACAATACCGCTCAATTTTGAGGTAATTATTACTGAAATGAAATACTCTTTTCATATTAGAAAATTGTGTGCACTGCTTTAATAATAATTAAAACAATATATAAATAAATAATAACGATATGTAATACTATAATGATCTGTCAAGTGAAAGAAAAAGACGTTTTATTATGGTTATATATATCTTGTGATTATTATATCACACGATTGTGGAGTCAGCAAAGAATTGTTAATGCATTCGATTCCAAAAACCTAACATGGCGACTGCAGACGGGAGATATTACAGGTTAACAGACTTTGCCATCATTATAGGATTGCAAAGTCTGTTAACCTGTAATGGGATGTATATGAGTGGGGTACCCCGCCCACATACATCACATTACAGGTTAACATACTTTGCCATCCTACCCCGCCCACATACATCCCATTACAGGTGATATACAAATATAAGAACAATCCGCAGGCAAGTAATGCGTTACAGGTTAAGAGGAATACTAGAAGGTTCTGGCAAGTAACACCAAATAGGTATACATGACGGAAACACATCTGCATTAAATAGGATCGACAACGTCATAGCAAATGGCAAAGTAACAGACAGGGTTAATGATGGCAAACAAGTTGAAATACTTTCTAGTTATGATGTTATGATAACAATTTGTTTATACAAAAACAACTATCATCATTTTTCTCAATATTTTGTTAAATCATGCTTAACATTCCTTAAAATACGTCTTTTTTTTTAATATTTGTCCATTACTTATCCTAGCTATGATATTACTACACATGTTTCTGTTTGTGAGATATCGAACACCCCTAGACATCAGCCTATATATATCTGTGTGCCTGTATCAGTATGATATTGTTATGTGCCAATGTATCAAAGTGTTAATCTGACAGTAACTTATATCAATGCCTGACCCAATTTGTTTTACACGGGTTTTTATATTTGCACATACAGTGGTTCTCCAAATTACTATTTTTAATTATCATAGCAAAAATAAATATGTTTATGATGTAGGGGAGATTTTTTTACAAATAATAATCCATAATTTATGGTAGACATTTGTTCCCCTCATGTAACATGTAGATATAAAATCACACAATAACCACAACACTATCAGAAATTGTACCAAAACACAGCAATTAAAATACTCATTCATATCACAAAGCAACAGGAAGTCATATTTATGTACCACTGCTGGCTGACTTAGCTGTCCGACCATGTACCCCTTGTAACAGTCCCAGACCACATCAGATATATAATATCTGCATTCTAACTAACATTTAACAAGAAACTAAGTCCATTTATTGCTCTTTACAGCAAATTGCTCCCTTATCACGACAACTGACTTCCCAAGAAACAAAACAATTGTACAAGATTATATTTGAATAGATGCAGACACCAATACCCGAAACTCAAACATCAGACCCATATAACCGGACAATGAAAAAGTAAAGATCTTTGTCGGAAACTCAAACGTAAATATACAAAAAATACTGATACATTCTTATGCTGTTCAAATATTACTGCTAAGCATACAACTGTGGTTTAAAAGAGAATGCCTGAATACCGTAAACAAATACATGTACAGTGTATTTGACAGTTCATTTATTTAGTTAGAACAATACCCTCACAAAAAAAACAGAAAGCGTGCCACATATTGAATAACGAATTTCTATTTTATAATTAATAGCATAATAAAGATTTCCCAAATTTCAGCTATACAAAACAATTATTCTTTTTTGAGAACTTCCTAGTTTTTTGGCTTTTTTTAAAATAATAGGGTGATAAACATTTTTTGACATCTTTTTAACTCGCGATTATATCTTATCAGTTTTCAAATATTTGAATTTATTTTAAACTTTAATTAAGTTTTGTAAAATCTTAGTTTATTGTTAAGTCAATGCAAAATTATATTATTAAGTCACATCATACATGTATATGAATATTTTAGTATATCTTTTCTTTGTTTGGGCATGGACGTTGGTTGTTGCTTCATACAATGCTATTACTGTAAGTTTATTCTCTGATAATCTACACTTTATGCCGATAACCAAATGTAACTCACAAAATACAGAATAAAAAAAAAGGTAAATTTGATAGTTAACAAAAAATTTGATCTAAACATCAACAAAAAGGGTTATTTTAACAAAAAGAAAACGATTGCATAATGCTAAAGTGTATACAAAATGCTTCCGATAAACATTGTATTTATAATCATGTCCGGCGCTTTAAGATTTGTTTTTTGTTCATCTATTGTTTTTTTCCCCGCGAAAATGTCTCAATTTTCTCAAAGAAGTATGTGGGTAAAAAACCATAAGAATTAGCGATCAAATAGTTCACAAATTAGTATATACATGTACTACTTTTACTGCATCAAATCTTTTTTTTCTGTTTGATATTTCTATAATTAAAGATATGCCTACAACTGTCATAAACTGCCCTTAATATAAATGATATCGTGCATGTTTGAAATGGGCTACATGATTTGCCGCTTGTCCAATCCATTTGTTTTAATACTAAAATTTGTTGAAATGTAGTGAAACGGTTCAACCATTTTAGTATAACAGATAGAAGATACTATGTTCGTGTCGGCTGCTGGCATTTAACAACCAGAAGTGTGCCGCACGGTAACTAAGTCATGTCAGCCGTTATACTAGCTCGAGCATACCTCCAATGAGATAGTACTATACGGGTCTTCAGTTATATCAATTTCGTGAATTCAATTATCTTTTCAAGAGGACAATGGCCACATTTTCTAATCGGCTGGGTCATAAATACTCTCGGCACGCGTATCTAGTATATGTGGGCGATCGACATGGAGGTTTGTAACTCCTCAAAGTATAGTGGTACTACAGTAAGATGTCACTTTGCCACCTACCGCTCATAATTACAATGTAAACACGATGATTAAGTGTTCCACAGGCGTTTACTAGTGGTATATTACCAGAAGTATAGAAGCATTTCATTTATGGACCGGTAATATAATATGATAGTTAAAACTATCATAGCTTTGCTTTATCTCATATTACATTTTTTTCTGCACTTTTGGAAAATATGATGATTTCTATGTTAATGTTATGCCTAAGTGTGACTGCACTATGGCTTGACAATAACATCACCCATTCATACTAGTTATTTCAATTTAACAAGTTAAAGTCTTCCGTCTATTTCCTATGTTACATAAATGTGAAGGTGTTTCCTGGTAAGCTACACGGTACCGTAGCTCCCGTACGTAAAACAAATGTGAGGTTCCGTAATTTTATAGCTTATAAAACATATAGACCCTGTATCAACCTATCTAAAGACAGTTCCTGTTCCCATATATTCCCGGGAACTGATGAAGACTTGATACTGATATGATACGCCCGTTAAGTAATCATTAGTCGGGTATGAATTGGACTGTAGTACGAGTCCCGTATGTTGGTGGGCCATTTACCAGCGACGTGAACGTTCAAACCGGGGCATTAACACGTTGATTGTATTTATACTGCTAAGCTGCACGTCTTAAACTAAATAACAATTGAGTTGAGTGTTATTAAAGGAGACGTAAGGCCAGTTTGTTCCCTATCGCTTACACATCAGGCATGCTGATATACCAAGCCTTGTTAGATTGATACCACTCAAAGTGTCAAATCAATTTCTCTTTGCTCTGCATTCTTTAGTAATATTTTACAATCAAAGAAATCAGCATGTTTTGTTTGTTGTTGTTTTTTTCAATCGGCAGAAGAAACACTTAAACTTTCTAAAACAACTTATACACATACACTTACATGTTGTTCTTGTCGTGCATTATGGCACGGCTTACGCAGCCGACTCTCTGTGTAACGTATATAGTGATGTAAGTAAAGGTGACCGGTACGTAGTATACATCATACAGATAAGTGGCACGTTATATAGATAATGTACATAAATATTGTCATCATAAACAACAATACATACCATATCACAAGGCTGATTTTACATCTGCAGTATATCATAAAATGTATATGGTTTTGACACGTATACGACCACTTTAGCGTTCATGAATAAGACGGGCTTAATCCTTAGGTAAACGGCATGTTTTATGCTCACGAAATGCATTTGAGTACGAAATTATATTCTAAGAAATTCTAAAATATTCTAAGACTAATATAATAGTTGAAATAAATGAAAATTGCGAGTTTTATTTCTGGCTTTTCTCATCGCACAAATCTTGACACTTAAGAGTCTGTATTGTGAACTGCGTAGTACATGGGCGCATGTCAAACTTACAGCTTTACTGTTTATTGATTCCAGAGAATCGAAACACGCATATACACCAGTATTAAAACAGTTTCAAAATTGAACTCTCAAGTTCTAACAGCACCTTGTTGATAAGTGAATTTCAAGCGCCTATCTGACAAAAACCACTTACCTGAACACAAAAATCCCAGGAAGAAGACTCCGATTTCAAGCATCTTGATGACGATGATTATCATTCCTGATGTAGACACCATTTATGCTCCATTCGCTCCAGTTAAAGTTAAGATTTATTGAAAACAAAGGATTGTTCTCCGTTTAAAGATGAACAATAAACAGTGGCACTGATGAAGATTAGATATAAAAAAAAGTATACAAAACGTGTTCCTGTGTTTCACGTTCAAAGTGGAAACTTGTTGAAGAGATGAGCAGTTATGTGTTATTCCCACTTGTAATCCGTGGATGTAATCTAAGATCTCGTAAATTCCATGGAACCCCCGTAGCCTAAAGGGTTGAATGTTACCAGTAACACTCGTGCCTAGACCGCACCGCGTCGCTAGATATGCTAGATGACAGCAAATGATCAAACAAATAAGTTTTCAAACCATACAGCATCACACGCCAAATTTACATAAGAGATGATATACAGAGAGGTGTATTTTAGTATATAGGTATACACACATATGTAATGTCGTCGCACTGTTACGGAGCAATCAACGGAAAAGTCGGATATGCCATACGTAACTTGTCAGGCGCTACGGTACTGGTATAGCGTTATTCATTACGAGCCAGGCGAACCACTGAGTATTGATAATAACTTTTCCACCAACAATTTACATATTCGCTTTGAGTAGCCCGCCCTCGTGAAACGCTACCGTTGTAGGGTTTAGACTTTCCGGGAGGGCGACAGCCAATCGCGAGTGACGGGCGGTTGGATATGTAAGTTCGGCGTGAGTGAGTGTTGTATTGACTTTAGGCCAAACTCCGCATTGAGTCGGAAAGGCAGCGACTGTAAAAGGGATAGCAGCACAACAAGCATTGGTTGACTAGCCAGAGTAAGGTATAACAGACGTCGAAGGACTACACATATGTAATACGGTCTATCCTATGTGGTAAAAACGATAACTGATGGAGAGCTATCCCCGACTATACTATGGGTAACCATGACATTTAAAACGGACCTGTCACTTCTGTCTGTTACACATATTGCATACCAGTCGTCTGCCACTTCTTACAACGTACAGATTGTATACCTGTTGTAGAGTAACAGGCATACGTTCTCCTTGTTAACAATTTTAAAGATCGCCTACCTGTTGCAGTTTTTACAATACATGGATAGATTTCAATCTTCAACGAAACTTCTTGTTTATTTTGGATACCTGTTCTTATATAACAGGTGGAACGGTGATGCAGAAATGACTATCAGTCAAGTTCCAACTAATACTTGACAGTGACGAATATCCCGTTTTAAGGCACCAACATATATTCGGACCATGACGCATCTTAATGCGGCGATATCATTTATAACAATTTTTGCCTTTTAGTATTACATCATACCTGATTTGTCACTACGCCCTTTGATAGTTCCTTGCTAGTGTACAACGATATGACAATGATACAAACACTGCAGAAATTGATATAACATGGGTGTATTGCGGTGTATGTTTGATTTGTTTTGTATAAAGCTTTGTACATATCACTAGTGTAGTTCTCGTACTGATCACGAGCGGTTATAACATCAAATGGTGTTATGGCTATTGATTAGTGCTGATTAACGATTGTCATCATTGTTTTAATAAAGTGGCCAAGAGAAATATACATTATTGATATAGAGTTTAATTTGTAACACGTGTCAATAACCAAATGTTATTAAACACAGTTTGATTAAAAAAGTGTACTTGAAAGTGTGTGGTATTAAAACAGTCTATAAAAAGCTATGGTGTTTCTCTACAACGAGATTTATTTGATTGGTATAAACCGTAATGGGTCATTGTTCACTGGAAGTATCAATCAACATGCTGTTTGCCGTCATTTCCAAGTTTCGACAAATGCCGTCGAACGAAATTTCTCTACGATATTATACAATAATGAAGTTCACTTGTTTTGTTAAAACTTGTTCTGGAATGTTTCACTTTTGGTGCTATTTTTTATGGTTACCTAACTACATGTAACTCAAACAATAACAAAGGTAATGGCTCTTATTTTATGCTCGCTACCGTTCCTTTTCGTAGTATACATGTATCTAGGTACCAAATGTTATATTTGCCATAGTGATAACAACTACTAGCATACGAGGATACCGAAGTGCTTACCAAATCGTTATTCGATTTCAAAATCGAGATAAACCTGATACAAATATGAGCACATGAAGGATTGACACAGACCCTTGAAACAGTACATGTACACATAAATTAAGACCAGGTGTTCCGCAAGGATAAGAGACGTCTGCTTTATGGGCGACATCCGCCACATAAATGTAGGTCAAAATATTTGGAACACGAAAACATCTGAATGTTCCTCATCAAGATGTGCTATTGAAATACTGGCATAATTTTGCATTTTGGAATTCGCAGACTTTGTTTAATCTAATATTCCTAAAAATCATTTTATTGAACTGATGTTTCCCCTATTTTAAGGGGAAATATTATGATGCCGAAAATGTGTGTACTTCCACAGAACCTGGTTTCACCTCTAAATTTGCATTAAAATTAATTTCCATCTTTTTTTTCATTTTGAAGGGCATTTCTGATTTATTTCAACTTACTTTGATGTCGCTCGTTTCCAGATATTTTCATCTCCTATTCCTTTGAGTTCATAACATTTCTTTGTATCTTGAAGCTCTAGCATATCTTTTTTTTCATTTACTGCAAGTTTGATTTCATATTTCGTTCTTATCTACGGTCTATTGTTTCAATACGAGCTTCTTTCATGTAGATAAATATTCCATAACTACCCCGTCAGTTCGTCATATTATTGTTAACTTTTGCAAATATTTTAGTGGCTCGAAATGAAGGAAGAACACGCTGACACGTGCCTGATACCACCAACAGTGTATACGGTTACCTGTCCGTGTGGACATAAATATGATACTGGTTAACAGGTATGGTAAGGTATCCGTTATAAATGTTTACGTTTTTACTTAAAGCGATGATATGATGGATGGGACAAAATCGATCTAATCCCTACACTCGTGGCGCGGTATGTTGGCTCAGGTGATTTATTCTCCGTGTGCAGACAGTGAGCTGACCAGGGCATGGATAATAAGAGCTACATTTCGGGTTCTTTGAGCGGTAGCGGAAGCACAGTTTTATTGTTTTACTAAGATTGTTCGTAATGCATAATACAATTTTAAGTATGTGATTTGGTACATGTTTCTGCATGTATTTGGAGTGAGGGGACTTATCATAATAACGTACTATTTTTTGCGAAAAGAAAATGGCACAAATCCTACAAACCAAATGTAATATGTTAATTATACAATCCACTATCATTCAGACCTTTCTAAGATTTTTTTTATAAGTAAAACAAAGTAAATGACACAGTTTCAACCAAGAAGGACAAAAAAGGACAAAAAGAGAGGGCATGCGTGTCAATGAAACCGTAATTCGAACTCAAGATCGTTAATACTAGGGCAGAATAGGACAGCATCGTTAATACTAGGGCAGAATAGGACAAAATCGTTAATACTAGGGAAGAATAGGACAAAATCGTTAATACTAGGGCAGAATAGGGCAAAAAGAAAATCTATGATCAATACCTATTGTTATAAAAGGATAGGCGTCTTCTGCTATATTGATGACACTTGATTCCACTCAAAATAATGTTATATTCTCAAAGTTATTCATATGCCACAAAGGAGTATAGTCTTATGTTTTCGAAAGCAAACGGGATAATATTGGTTTAATCGAATGATTAAAGCGACCTGTCAAGACCCGATGAGTCTGATTTCACTTTCAGAGCTTGAATTTCATCGTGTTTAAATGTTCAGTTGGTCATTCCCAAGAAAACGATTTCAATACAGAAGCAAAGCCTGACTGATACCTTCTAATACAAGGTTAGACGTAAACAAAGCTGCCGACTGTATGTACCCGCCTCGACAACGCTCCAGCACGCTTGCTTTACCTTATCAATTAACAACCTTACAAGCGTTAGTGTGACCGCGTGCTGCTAATACCGTGTAAAATCTAGTCGCCTTTTAATTTCTTCAGTGAGGGTAAAATAATGAAAGCTTTCTTAAAGCTAGGCTGTCAGATGTCAGTCTAGTCATACTACAGAAAATCGGTCTTATCAGTTGAAGCAAATTAATACGACCAACATAGAGGGTTCATGTCACATTACCATACTCTTTTATCTGCGATTATTTTAAACGAAATCTCACAGTGTAGGCGGCCATTTAGGTGAAAATGTCTGAAACACTTAGGACGAAATTGAGTTTTCTACGGATACATGAGATTCACGACGGGACATGTTTGTGTATGCTGTATCTATTTTTGTTTTAATAGAGGCGGTTATTAGTACTGTATGTTCGTGGTGACCAAACAAGACATAATTAGAATGTTAGAACGGTGTCGGTCCTGTGGTAGGAGTAAAAACACAGTCAATCCTTAATATTATCTTTTTTAGAACAACATCCTCTAGATTATGTATCTTTATTCGAATATGAATTCGGACCAATATACAATTTGAACAGCACTTACTAGAAGGTCAATAATGGCATGTCACGGGTACTTTCAACAAATGGAATGTTCATGTAGTGATTTGAGATATTATATTTATTGTGACTTCGGTACTATTCTGTTGCTCTATTGATAATAGATAGTAGTCAGATGGATCACTTCTTGGTGTATGTATGAAATGAAGACTGAAAACTGCTGATGCATCTTAAGATTGGGTAGAATTGTGAGCGAAATTATGAATGTTTTCATTTCCGCTGAACAAATGAATCGTGCAATGTTCATGTAAAACGTCAGTATTCGGTTGGATTCACAGTACTATCATAGAGAATTTTATGATAAATGTGCTTAATTTGAACTTTAATTTAATACATCATTATATTCGTTATTTAGCGTATTTTAAACTACAAATTTCATTCAATTTATTCCATCGTGTGACATAAGTATAATTAATATCCTTGAACTATTTGTGTAAATAGTTTCTCCTTTACTTGTGTCAATTAAGATAGCATTTCCTTTAAAGTCAGCATATGTCATTGTTGTCAGATTAACTCATGCATTTATCTTGTCCATCTTATACCATATATCTTTCAACTTAATGATATTACGTAACAGGATTAACTGGTCATACCAGATCGGACACTGCATTTAGTCTCAGACAAAGGACAGCTAAATTGGCTTACCTGGTCGGTGCGACCGGGGTCTGAAAGGCCGATTGCTATGAATGACAGATGTCACTCAAATTAATTACTTAATTGATATTGTGTAAATATACTTAGGACATGATTATGATCTGTAACTTCAGTTAGGACCTAGGCATCGGACTGTACGGGTGTGTTTTTGTATACTCCATAAATCACCCACCGACCTAGAGAAAGTTATTCTAATAAATTTATATTTGGACCATACAACATATCACGAACTTTTACTTTTAAAACTGTATAACAATACCCTACAAAAGTGTTGTTATAGTACATACATGTATATCAAGTAATGGTTTTTGTACAACGCAATATACCATTTGCATCTATACATTGTTTACATCTATATATAATTCATCACTTTAATGAAATCATTATATTCCGCTATATGCGTATTTAAACTATCTATATTTATATGCATCCAAAATCTCTGAAACAGGAGTCACACGCGTCTAGGTTACTCTTACGCTGTACATCTCCGAAACCTTGGTAAAGCTATTGGAATTTCTATTTAAATGAAATTGAACTAGTGGTATTACTGTATGCTGTCTGCCAGAGATCAGGGTTTGAGATAGAAATTCTGAAT